CAGATATGCGCTCCCAATGAATCTAAACAGAAACGGAATAGTCGTACAGGGCTCTCAGAATTGTGGCGCAGGTCTCCTCAATTAACGAGATGAAAGTTCACTTGGAACATCAGTTTTTCCATCAGTCGTTCCGACCAAAAATATCAGGCAAAAATAGGTTGCGCACGTATACACCGGCGAATAAAATACGATCGACCACGGAAACGGATTTGTTTGTTCTTGAAATATTACGACATAGGTATTAGGAGAACCAGCTCCGAACGTAACGGGACTATAAAACAGCCAATGAAGTAACGGTCTTCCTTGAGACAGATTTCATTGGTTGTTCTTCACTCGTCCTCGGCAGATGAGTTGTATTCTTAGTATAACTTTTTTGACTCGCTTGTACCTGACAGTGATCAATAGATCAGCCGGTTCGCACGTTCGTTGACTTTTTCTGATCTGACCAAGCGCACCAGGCTATCAATCGGTTATCTAGACCGGAGTTCACGGTAGTAAGAAGGCATTAAGGAGACTGTGGTCTACAACTATAGGTGACTTTTTTAGTGCAAGCCTAATTCCCCCACAAAATGAATGAAAAATGGATACCGTTTAAGAGAATCAACTAACAGTTCGTTCTCCCTGCCTGCTAAGTCGTAAATCATAAAAACCCTGCTAAGTGGATGTACCTGACACATAGTCAGTAAGGTCCCAATGACATTTGCAGCGAATTCGAACAAAATTAGCAGACTAGTTCAAATGGGGCCCTTTTTCTTATTGAAAAAATACGAATGATTTTTTGGGAATCGAAAGCTTCTTTTGGATAGTTTCATTGGCTGGGAAGGGATGTGCTGTGATCAACAGATGGCGTACGGCACCAGGAAGGTTCGTACTTGTACTGTAATTTAAACAGCCTTCGTGTTGGAATTTCGCTTGATTTTTTAATTAGTTGATTGGTTGAGCATTGATTCATCAGACTGTGAGCGCATATTAACACTTGGTGTGCTAGGTGCTTGATGCATCTTGTCAGAACCCTTGAGCCCATAACGAAGCTTCGGATTCAGGGGTTCAGTGACAGTCATTCCAACTAGCAGACGGCACAAGAACACCTGCTTTATGCTATCATCTTTAGGGCTTTAATTTGCGCAAATTTCCCCAGATGGGAAAGCATTTCAGAGTATTTCAGAGTAGTGCATTACGTATATACATATATGTCGCGTTATCTCGAATATCGCACCAAATGGAACGTGAGGCGGCCTGATGCAACAGATTCAGTTGCTTGGAGACATCATAACCGATGGATTGAGCTGGGTTCTAAGTGAGTCTCTCGCAAAACCAAATTTGCCTGCAAATGATTGTATTTCTCTAATTTCGTGCAGCTTCGGTTCAGGTTGAATATACGTTTGACGGAAACTCAAGGGCTGCGCCTATCTGATGAACCCGAAGTGGAAGGGCGAGTGGAAGGGCTGTCGAGAAGTTTTCAGCAACCTTATAAGTATTTCAGACAATGTTTCCCCCTTGACACAGACTTTGTGGTATTGCCACAGAATCCGAAACACGGTTCTGTCAGGAATTGTATTAGTCACGCGGGAGTCAAACACGATACTGGATATGTTCACTGTCGTTTGTTGGGCGAACTCAAATAAGCGAAAGACTTCTTAAGTTTTATACCAGATAACCTATTGAACCCACATTCAGGTTGGCTTTAAACGGTGAGCTTTCTAGAGGGGTGGCGGGTGCGATCATCTTGTGAAAGCGTTTCCTCATCTGAGCCCGTCACATATTAATGGTGATGCCAGGAAATTTGGTAAGCTGTTCTGATGGTGATTGTATCATCAGTTTTTCGTCACAAATCAAAACGATCCATCTTTCGGTGCTTAACTGCAGAATACGTAACCAGCAGCCTGTGTACAAAAGTTTGAAACACTTACTCGCCAATTTCCATCTGAATTTGTCACCGTTCGCCGGCAATAATCGAACTGGTGGTCGAAATTTCACGTTGTCTAAAAACCACCTGACCAGCCTACTAAATTTACACAGGTTTTGCACTTTTTGTCGACACTAAGGTACGCCAAACAAACGTTTTTCATGGTCGAATATTAGATCCACATCACATATTCGGTCACACTCGAGTGACAGCGGGAATAAGCGGTTGCGTACGATCATACTGCAACACAGACGCCAGTCTGAAGCGAACTAGTGGAGTCATTCATGCACGGTTAATGGTGAAAGGAAGAAGACCTTTGCTGCGGAGTTATTCATTAGAAAATACCAACCGAACAGTTATAGACTATTAGACAGGGAAGCGAAACTCTCATATGTATCTTGTTTACAAAATCTGAATATCCTTGTTCCCCTTGAACGCGTCTTTCTGAAATTTCCTGGATATTCATTAACTGTTGCTCAAATCCAAACAGATGCTCCTAAGCGACTCCACAAATTGCGCAATAGATCTTCCTTTTCAAGAGACACAAAGCAAATTTAGAAGGGGAAACACACTACTCGCATGCCCCTCTCATCAGTAGTATCACTGTTACACTGGTATTTCCGGCGAGTGGATTACAAACAGTTCAGCGCCAGTCGGGAAGTCATCGTCTGCTTGCGGTTTGGGTGATGATTTTGTTTCTTTTAACTAGGAGTTATATAGTTTCCAAACAGGGCGGAACGGATGTTATGGTTATCTTGCCGTTTGTCTACCTTCAGGACCCATTGACCCATAGTTTCTCACACAAACGTCGTTGTAGTTAAATGTCCGACAAACACAATCTACTCAGCCGGCTGGAACCTAGCACCTGGCTTCTTACAAAGCTCAAAACACAAAGTATTCTCTGGCAGCCATTTTCTACCTTGTTTTATGGCTTTTGAGCCAAAAAAAATCGGCTGAGGGCCCTAACTGTCCTCCTGAGCCTCGTGGTAGAATTCTACAACGCGCAAACAAAGAGAAATACTGCGAGTTAACAGTATGTCATATTCGCACACTAAGGCGGACAGAACAAGCTGGTCCCGGCCATATGCTTGGTCTCCTCTAGATGAACGAGTACTCTTCCCCCTCTCTGTTGACGCCAAAATCTTACCGAATCATCACACGGTTACGTACAATTCTTCCGAGGTGACTTCGTGCAACTGAGTGGTTTCTTTCATAGATGTGGGTTTTAATTAAAGAAGATAACACGATATCCTGTTAGCTAATCCCACTTTTTCTACGCCAAACTCTTTATTCGAGCGGTACGGACGCGTAGATTTGTGACACAGTTCCTGCTGCCGCATGTAATGACAGTATGATGGTAAATTTTAGCTGGAAAGAAGCTTGGTGAAGCATCGGGTTGAATCCCCCATCTTCTGGAAGATGGTGAATGAAACCATTCGGTCAATGGTCCCCACTCTCTGGCCAGACTTTCTGCAGACCTAGCGCCTTTATTCAATCGTACATAAAAAGCGTTTCACACATCCAAACAGAGAAACAAGGGCACACTTACTCAAACTGACGTACTCTGTCCTTTTGCAGAGCAAAACAAGCGATCCAGCACGACAGGAAATGGTCACGGTATTACACTGGCAACGCCTTCCGGCGAACAAGGTTCAAAGCTTACTTCAAAGCATACTACATTGCTAGGCAATTCTATTGGGAACATGAAATGAAACAAGAACACTCGCTGGGTAATGTATAATCCACGGAACTTCTTTGTTCTTTCCGACTACCTGCAAGTAATATCGCAAGACGTTGATACACCATGGAAGGTATTTTGAATAGCTCTGCATACGAGCGAAATATTTCGTTCGCACTTTCTGTAAACGCACCATCCATCACTCTTGTTGTGGACTTAACAAAAATGATTCGTTACAATGGACTACAAGCGTCGTTTCTCAGTTGAAACAGCACATCTACAGTGAGGTTCGTGAACCAGAACTGAAGCCACCATCAATAATGACCTATCATGTACGTTGAAAACAATGTGTTGTGCAACTTTAGTTGCACAAACTCGTGAATAAGGTAGATTTAACACTGTATGCTGTCTATTCTCATTTCTGTTTCGCCCAATGTTCATGCAACCCACTTTTAAACGCTCAAGTTTTGTGGACATCCATAAACGTTTTCAAAACCTGGGCATTCCCATCCAAATCTACGTTAGATAAACGTGATTCCTCTGTAGATTACACTTGAATTAATCAAAAATTCGTATTTGGGGACTAGTTTCCAGTTGCCTGTACAGGAGAACCTTGAAGACTGGTCTAGAGTCACGAACCTTGGAACGCATCCCAATGTGCTCTCAAGCAGTGGAACAACGAAGGACGAACTTACAAACAGGAATTCATTTTCGTCTGCTAATTGACGAAGACTGTCAGTGGGCTGTCAAGTGGGGGGGGGGTTGGAAAAGGAGCTATGCATTGAAGGCAATAGCTTGGATGCACGAGCGCCATTGAGGGCGCGACTGGGCCATATCTGACAATGTCTCTAGCCATTGATGTGGCCCGTCTCGGGGTCCCCATCCAGGAAGACGGCGGTAGCGCGCGCAGCTGAGTTTGCTGGTATTGGCTTTCATACTTTGCTCGCAAGCCATTGTTTGACCGCCTCTGGTTCTCTTCCAACATTCACGTGGTTGTGCGAAAAGAGCCCTTCGAGGAAGTCAGTCGACTGGCATACGCAGCACGTGGCCAAGCCAGCGCAACCTGTGCAGTGTGATCAGTTCATCTATCGGGGGTGTTATTTGTCCCGAACAACATTCGACGAACTTCAGATTGCTTATCCGGTGTTCCCATTTGATTCGGACAATGCTCTAAGACATCGAACGGTCAAACGCTGGAAGTCTTTTGACGTCCTCAGCGCGCAGCAGCCAGGTTTCTCATCCATACAGTCATATGACGAAGCGCTCCGGGAATTGATGTGACTGCAAGGGCGCGATGAAGTAGTAGTACATGAAAAACAACAAACACTGCGGGGTTACAAATGCGTGAAAGGTCAAACATCAACCCACAGGGTCAGTAATCGGGTGTGCAACGTGACCTCAGGCTTTGGGTAAGAGATGCATACGTGCTTGGACAATCAAGGTCGAGTAATCCTGATGATGGATTGGTTTCGTTTGACGCTTGATTTGCAGTACTATTATTTAGGCTCAACAGTTGGGTTGCGGCTATCGCAACTAAATCATGGTTGTTCCCCCTTCCCCGCCGGCCTGTTTGAACTCAACTCACACAAGTAAGTGAGTCATCTCTCACCGGTTTTGTTTGAATTATACAAATACTGCATAAACAAGGTCCAGGTGAAAGTCCACTAGATGGTGAAACTCAGTTCAAATATTTACTCCACCAAACGGACGAGATGCGATCTCCTTTAAAGCCAATTGTCATTGTTTATTATCTAAAACGGAAATCAATGAAATGCGTATTGGGTGACATTCAACAGGAATAAGCGGTGTTGCCACTACAATGCCAGATAAAAGATTTGATTTCGTTTTTTGCGAAAAAAGTAATGCAAGATAAAGTCAAAAGTATCGTTCCTTAAGAAGACGAAATCAGAGGGACAACGGTGGGTCATTGGAAAGGGGAGTAGATGAGCGTCCGTAGGCAAGGCGGGGGTCGCTCTTGTCGCCCCTGTAACGTTTCGCATTCCGCGAAACGCATATTCTCAACTTCACTGGAATGTGTGAAACCGAGGAACATCGCGAGCATGCACTGTCGCGGGATTTGTCACTTTGTGCGGCATTTTTGTTGCTTCTACTTCTGTTCTGAGGTTTGTCGAGACATATCCCTTACACCTACCCCCGAAGAAGGAAGATCAACTGCCTATTCTTAACAGAATACTGACGGATTGGGGTGTGTGTGTGCCGCAGTCTGACCTGGATCGATGAATTCTAACCGGATCTTACTCATTGCCTGTGGTGCGGCAGTAAACACTTATAGTGAATGATTTATAGATGGAAACCGTTTTCACAAAACTCACAACCCCAGAGGGCTTTTTCCAAGAAGTGCTCGACCAGAGACCCTTAAGCCAACACAAGAAGATCGGCTTTCCCCGTCCCTCTCCACAGTGTATGCAACCTCTACATGGTAACTGCTTTGAGGTTACTTGAAATGGTCCAAAGTTCAGGAGAACTAGGTGTATTTTAATCTGATAAAGCTAACCTTTCCTCAGATAAATGTTTGGTACAGTTAGTGAGGCAAACGGGGCCAGGATTTCTCTTATCAACCACAGAAGATTCACAACTTTCGAGTCGGTTTCGTCCGTCTGGGATATTCACTATTGCTGTCAACGAAAATGGCGTCTACTCACTGTGTCGGAGGGTAGAGAAGAAACTGCCAGCTGCGTGTTCTACGGTTACTTTACGCAAGCGTCAAAATTGTTCTTTACTGTGTGTGCTCATTTCTCAAAAAGCTTCTAACACGACATTTGTTAATTTCTCACTCATATTATGTCCTTTCATTTAGGAATTGAGAACTTTTTGTGACCGTGAAGTTTGCTAGTGTTAACCGACCGGTGATGTATCGGGGAGCGGTGAAACATTTCCGCCATCTTGGAATACGATCCAGAAATTCTGGGAGAAGGCATATCTGCTACCAGTTGCAGAATTATTCAAACTTGATCACTTAGTCATATCCGTGTGCGCCAACTAACATACTCGATAGGTTGTGCCGTAATCCATTTGCCCTGTGCATGAGATGAGCATAGCCTCAGCTGTGTTAGGCATTCCGAATCCCATGTCATCCGTGTGCATTTTGAACTAACCATTAGGTCTTTGTAATGTACTGCTCATAAGGTTGCTGAAAATCTGTCGAAAGCCCGCGACCGGTTTCGCCCTTCCACTTCCGGCTTATCAGGTAGGCGCAGTCCCCGAGTTTTCGTCAACCTTATGTTCTACTTGAAACCGAATTGCACGAAATTAGCGAATATACACTCATTTGCAAACTAGTTTGGTTTTTCGAGAGACTCACCTGGAACCCAGCTGAATCTCTCGTTTGTTATGTTCTCAGACCATTAGGTCCCTCAACACCGAACGACACAGGTAAGATGTCCTCCCTATATAGAATTATGAAGACCATGCTGTGACAGAGTGGTTGTTTGGGAAACCAGACTCATGGTTTCAGATTCCGGGAATCGGAATACTGCAGAAAACTGTGTGAATGAATTGGTTAAGCCATCTCTAACCGATAGTTCTAGGTTGGCTTGCTTAGTCACTTTAGGGCCTATCCTTTTTGTAGTTTACATTGTTTCACTTTTGTACACGTCCACTACGCATGTGAACTCACGGCAATTGTCACAGCTTTTCAACTGTGGTTTTGCATACGCGGTACCAGTCTTGACACATATGTTTGCGTCGCCTGGTGCAAAGACTACGGCACTGCTCCATCCAGTAGATTTACTTCAGTATCGTTGCTGACCAAAATTTGTCGAATTCACGAGGCTGTGCTCCAAACACAGTTAGAAAACAGACTCCGATCACACTCATGACTATGGAAATATTATTTTACTCCCTGTAATACAACGAAATGTACACCTAATAAAACGAATACGGTTCGACAATTTAGAGCCGTATAAGTGTGATTTGAGTTTAACAAATCTAATAACAAATAACTGCAATCGAATCGTTAAACTCCCGAAAGTACCCTAGCTCGACGGCATC